CTGAACTAAATATATATGTGGCAGTTCTGACATGTACACAGGGAAAATCAATTCATATTTTACAAGGGCATTTTAGTGGCCAGACCAGAAGTATAACTAAATGCCTTGCAAATATAATTAACTCACTACTTCTACTTTTAAAAAACAAAATTAACATTTCAAAGGGTTTTTATTGGACAATAAAACAAAACATCTCATTTATGGTACTATTTGACATATAATGTTTTGATGTCATGAAAACCCTGAATTATATGCTGTGAAGCTATTTTTATATTATGTCACTTTATCAATATTAAATGTCTAATCCCCAGGAAGAGAGTACCATAAAGAAATGTCAAATGAGAAGCAGGGGGTCATATAAGAAGCAGGAAGCATTGTGCCTGAAGCCTATTAGAGTTAATTTTTAATTACTTTATTGCAGAACTTCATAAAATCGCTGATAAGAAAGCAACAATACTGCTGCATATTTTCACTTCTTAAAAAGCAACTCAGCCTGATTGCAAACAAATCTTTATCTTCATAGCACACATTTTAACTTAGTAGAAAATTGTGTTTTAATTTTTTTTATCACTTTGAGATCTGCTTAAGCAAAAGTTTAAAAAACACTCCTGGACAATGGATGAACAAACCTATATAAAGACCTTTAATCGCCATGCCCTCATATGGATTTATATATGTCAGTATTGTCCTACATCAAGCAAAAAATTCTAACTATTTTGTTTTTTTATAACATGTAATGGAAAAGAGTGGCTAAGGCTAATGTTGCTCTACCTGTTTTGAGCAATTTAAGAAGAACAGGTTGTTCCCAACAACAGCTTTCTCCTCGCAAAGATAATCTCTCTGCTGCCTATTTTTTTTTACTAGACCGAGAACCATTGTTAAACTTTATTGGTACATTTGTTAGGTTTTTCTCCTGTTTTGTTCCAGGAGCTCAAGGCAGTTTACATGGGATCTCTCTAAATGTTTATCCCCATTACAGCTTTGATACTCTCAGGATGGGATTAGAGTGAGTTTCCATGGATGAGGATGGACTTGAACCTGGATGACCCCAGACTGAGAGCAGCAACATAACTGTGCAAGAGGCCAATAAAAGTCCTTGGAATGTTCTCTAGAAACTGCTGTCCTTGAAAACCACATTCTTAAGTGTTTGTTTCTGTACTTGTTCTGTCTATAATTCAAATCAGAAAAGCTGTAAACTATTTCAGGAAAGAATGGCCAAAGGGCAGCATGTTGAAAGTTGCTTCAACTTTTTAAAACAATGCCAATAGGATGTATTGATTTCAAACATGTATGTAAATGCTCCTAACATTTTGCTTTCTGAGCCCCTTAAATTTCAAGGCTGTTATTAGAATAAAACAGAAAGTACCCTTCCCTCCAGACACTGGACCAAACAGTTTCATTCTCTGTCCTATCCCAGGGGCTTGGGGGAAAAGAACCAGGTCGTCACAGCCTTCCAGAAGGCTAAAAAGGTAAGGTATGTTTGGCATTTGAATGACAAGCTGTGAGTTTTATTCCAAAAACTGGGTGGACGATAAAAAGGGTGCTCATATCTCAATTTCTAGAATTTTGAATCCCATAGAGGTTCTCTGCTGCAAACATTCTCCCTCTGCATATGGCGGATGATAATGATAGGATTGCAAACATTTGACACTCATTTGGCATTCATGCCCTGTCCTTCCTTGTATACACAGCATACCTAGGCATGATGCATGGTCAAATTTCTTTTTGCTTTGTATTGAGGTTTTGATTTCCATTATAAAGTAAAACTTCCAGGAGTTTAAAACTGAGGCAAGAGAGGTAGAAGAGCCTTGAAAATTTTCTTGCAGAAATACCTGGTGCTTGCATTAATGATGATTTAAATTGCAGTCCTAAACTTTACTGGACCAAATATTTACTTCTGTACAATCTTACTGGCACAGTGCTATTGGTTTTTAATATTGACAGCAGAGGGAGACATGCTGCCATGATAACCAAACTGGAGAATGGAAACAACCAGCCCAAACAGCAACAAAGAGAGCAGAACTTTAGGATCTAACAAAAAGTATATTCCTGTCATCATATTGGTGAGGTAAATGCTGAAAAATGTTATCAAAACATCCTGAGTAGACCTTTATTTACTTTCTTATTCATTCACCAAATTTCTATAGCTGCCCACCTCATAAAAATATCTCTGGATGGCAAACAACAATAATTAAGATATAAAATATTTATTTAGCAGTATATACCTTTTGAAAGCCAGTTTGGTGTAGTGGGTAAGGCAGAAACTGGGAGACCATAAGTCTAATAGATTACATGTGCAATTTAAAAGGATACCTGAGGCAGTTCTGTGTTATTAGTGGAAATCTCTACAAAATTCATTCAAAACATATGGAGAGCTTCCAGAATTTCATTTTCAATGTGTGTTTGGTTTGATTTTATCCATGCTGGAATATTGGCTGCTATTAAGAGATTCATGCTTGGTTTGTGCTTTAGTTTACACCATATTCAGCTTACTGTGAACTTGGCCAAAGAGCTCATCCTGCTTTCCTTCTGAGACATAAAGGCTAACTATTTTGGAGGACATGTCTTCATGTAAAAGGGTTTCTCAGTTTATACAGTATTTGGAGACAGTTTTTCTAGGGTTAGTGTCTTTCCTACTCTTCGAACACAATTTTTGCAGAACCTACGTTCTACAGTGATTCACTATGCTGGCAATGACAGAGTCAGTGCTAGGATCTGCTCTTATCACATCTTTTTCATGCATTTTGAAACAGTGGTGGTCCTGCTTTTTGTTTTAAAAAAGAACTAGTGATGTTTGTATAAATGGTTGATTTAAACTAATAATAAGAGTAATGTTTTATCAGCTGTACTTTTCTGGTTCTGTCTAAAATGAGGACATTGTATGCTTTTAATGCTTCTGCCTATGGGGGTACTTTCTGGTTTTATTCCTTTGGGGGAGTTACAACAGTGTCATTTTGTGTATTTTGTGAAATACATCTGGATATTGTAGAACAAAAGACACTGATTTCCATTCCTTTGTAGCAGTTACTTATTTCCCAGCATTTGGGAGTTAGGGTAAAATTGACTTTTGAGTTCTGCCAGTTTTTCCTTTTCGTCTACTTGATAAATCACAGCTCAGGCTAGGAGTGCAGAGTAGGATTTGAGGAAGCCCCTCCCCAGTGCTCCTCATAATTCCTCCACCTTGCCTATGAAGTGTCACTAGAACAGGGATCTCCAACCTTGGCAACTTTAAGCCTGGCGGACTTCTGGGAGTTGAAGTTCGCCAGGCTTAAAGTTGTCAAGGTTGGAGACCCCTGTACTAGAACTCAGTCATTTGAATACTCACTGCCGACCTATCTGTCTATCAGGCTCCTGAATTCTGGTAAACTCTAAAGCCTCACCCGAGGGGTTATTGTGGCAGGAGATGGGACCCCGAATAACCAGACAGGGAGACATTCTCAATGTGCCAGTCGTGCTTCTTTCTCCCATTGCTCCTCAGCCTGATTAGATTGGCTCTTTGGGGACAGAAGATCAATGACAAATGACTCTTTGGGGACAGAAATAGCTCTAGTTTCCTGCCACGGAGCACCTTTTGAGCTGGAAACTTGAAGCTGGGCAAGTAAAACGAAGCGAAACTCCGGGAATCCACCAGTCGTTGCTTTTGAACAGTTAAAAGCTCAGTGGCCAAGACGCTGAGCTTGCCGATCAGCAAGGTGAGCAGTTCGAATCCCTATCGCCGCGTAACGGAACGAGCTCCGTTCGAAAGCACGTAAAAATGGAAGTAGAACAACCGGGACCACTTTGGTGGGAAGGTAACAGCGCTCCGTGCGCCTTAGGCGTTCAGTCACGGAGCCGTCGTCTTCGGACAGCGCTGGCTCTTCGGCTTGGCAACTGAGATGAGCACCGCCCCCGAGAGCCGGAAACAACTAGCACGTATGTTCGAGAGGAACCTTTACCTTCACCGTTCAAGCTAAACGCAGGGGTCTCCAACCTTGGCAACTTTAAGCCTGGAGGACTTCAATTCCCAGAATTCCCCAGCCAGCTTTGCTGGCTGGGGAATTCTGGGAGTTGAAGTCCTCCAGGCTTAAAGTTGCCAAGGTTGGAGACCCCTGAGCTAAAGGACAGGTCAATTAACAAGCCTCCACATCAAGGTTTAGACTTTCAGGTTTTTGGCTGTCTGGCAGCACAACTCGTGCTGTCATACCTTTCTGTTGGGAAAAAACAAACTGGAGGAATGAAGAGCCGCAAAGAAAGTATTTCTCATGAGGAAAACGCCGCCAGGAAAATTCGGATGGGAGACGAACCCCCCCCCCCCCCCCCCCCCCGAGGGTTTGTGCCTGAGGGTTGCAGGCACAAACATAGCGTAGCGGCGAGCAATAAACCGCCACCAGCACGGTTCATCTTCAAGCAGAGTTCGCTTCACGGTTAAAAGAGCGCAAGGAGGCCCGGTTCCGGAAGAAAACTCTCCACCCCCATTGGCTGATCCTCTCACCAATCTCCGTCGCCTTCCCTTCCGATTGGCGTTTCGCTAACTCCATGTATACAGCCCGAGGTATACACACAAGCATCACGCGCTCTATTAAACAGGAAAGAAGGCCGAGAGAGATGTCCCTCCCCCCAACTCCCCCCCCCTCCGAGCTGTATTGCGGAGTAATGATCAACAGTATAGGCAGGGTTAACAACGGCTCGGTAAAACTCGTGGATTCTGGGAAGAAGGCCAGGATAAACCGAGTCGGACGAGTCTCCTTGCCGGTTTCGCTGCAGAAAGGGGGGGGGGGAAAACAACAACCTCCCCCGGCTTCTATGTGTAGCGCAGGGACTTGTCTCCTCACCCGCCCCCAACCACGAAAAAAAAGTGGAAGGCCGACCTACCGGCCGGCTAGCCCTCGTCCCCACCCTGTATTCATGAGCGATCTGATTGGATGATTGTTCTTTATCGGCACCCTCCGCTGCCTCGCTTGCATTCACCTCATTGGTTGATGCGCACGCGCGGGGCTCTTCTTTCCCCCCCCCCTCCCCGTCCCCTTCGGGGTAGGGGTTGGAGCAGCTCCTGGGCCAGGTCCGGCAGTCGCTTGTCATCCGTCGAAGACTTAGCTCCTGGCTCTCCTCGTTAAGCGCTGGCACAATGAGGTCGCTCAGTTTACTGTGGCCGGGTTACCACTGACCTTTATCTACTGGAATATGGCCGCGCCGCTCCCAGCGGTCGCTCCCAGGCTCATGGCAGGGCCGGGAGGAGGCGGCGAAAGGGAGACGCGGATGCTGCCGCGGTCGCCGCTGCTGCTGCCGTTGCTGCTAGGGATTCTCCTCAGCCGGTGCCTAGGAGAGCAGCCCGCTCGCGCCGCCGCCGCCTCTTCCTCCTCCTCCTCCTCTTCCTCCTTGTTGCCCGGGGCATCTGAATCTGAGGAAACGGTGATAATAGGGTTACGGCTGGAGGACACGGACGACGTGTCCTTTATGGAAAAGGGAGTGCTCCGGGTGAGCGAGAGAACTCGTGTCAAACTGCGGGTCTACGGGCAGAATATCAATAACGAGACCTGGTCCCGCATCGCGTTCACCGAGCATGAACGGTGGATGGATGGGGAAGGCAGGCGGCCGCCAGCTGAACAGGAAGACGGTCCGGTCCCCGTGGCTTCCATGTCGTCGGCCCCGCAGCGTTGCGGCATCCGGACGTCGGACATCATCATCCTCCCGCATATCACCCTCAACCGCCGGACCTCGGGGATCATCGAGATCGATATCAAGCCGTTGCGCAAAACGGAAAAAAGCAAGTCCTACTACCTGTGTACCTCTGTGTCTTCCCCTGCTATCCTAGGAGGGGCGGGGAGCGTGGCCGGGAGCCCCGGTGGTGGAGGTGGCATTATTGGTCCTGATGGAGGGCCCTGGACTGAGACCACCTGGATCTATCATGATGGTGAGGACACCAAGATGATTGTAGGTGAGGAGAAGAAATTCTTGTTACCCTTCTGGCTTCAGGTGATCTTCATCTCCCTCCTGTTGTGTCTTTCTGGCATGTTCAGTGGTCTCAACCTGGGACTTATGGCTCTTGATCCTATGGAGTTGCGTATTGTGCAGAATTGTGGGACAGAAAAAGAAAAAAACTATGCTAAGCGCATTGAGCCTGTGCGTCGCCAGGGCAACTACTTGCTCTGTTCTTTGCTCTTGGGTAATGTATTGGTCAATACTACCCTTACCATCCTGCTCGATGACATTGCAGGTTCTGGACTGGTGGCAGTGGTAGTATCCACCATTGGTATTGTCATTTTGGGTGAGATTGTGCCACAGGCTATTTGTTCCCGGCATGGTCTGGCTGTGGGTGCCAACACCATCTTCCTTACGAAGTTTTTTATGATGATGACCTTTCCAGCCTCTTATCCAGTCAGCAAACTGCTGGACTGTGTTTTAGGGCAAGAGATTGGTACTGTCTATAACCGTGAGAAACTACTTGAAATGTTAAGAGTCACTGATCCTTACAATGATTTGGTCAAAGAAGAATTGAATATAATTCAAGGAGCGCTGGAGTTGCGCACCAAAATGGTGGAGGATGTAATGACTCCTCTCCGGGATTGCTTCATGATTACTGCTGAAGCTGTACTTGATTTCAACACTATGTCTGAAATCATGGAGAGTGGCTATACACGTATCCCGGTTTTTGAAGGAGACCGCTCTAATATTGTGGACCTTCTTTTTGTCAAAGACTTAGCTTTTGTGGATCCTGATGATTGCACTCCACTCAAGACCATCACACGTTTCTATAACCACCCACTGCACTTTGTCTTCAATGACACCAAGCTTGATGCCATGCTTGAGGAATTCAAAAAAGGTGGGATGATGGTGGCTGGTGAAGGGAGTGGGGAAGGAAAATGTGAAAAGGAGCTTCAGGAGTATGGAAGGTACTTGATTATTACAATGAAGGATGAAGTTCTGGGGATATTAAATTCTGTGCTTAACATTTGGTGTTTATATGGTATACTTCAGAATAGTAAACTGATTCTCTTGCACATATTTTCCTTGTGTTCATAAACTTTAATCTACAGCTTCCATCATTTCTATTTATATGTATGTATTGAATGTAGTTTAAGGATCAGTTTAGAGTTTTTAGTGTCCAGTGGGTATTCAGATACTAAATTGAATTGTGACTCCAACCTGGACTCATCATCCGTCTTATGTGCACCTATGACTGCTAATATTTCAAGAAACAAGAGGAATTTATGGGCCCAGGTTGTATCCAAATGTATAGGCTAAAGTAATAAATAACAAACATTCTCTTTCAATAGTAATGTATGCCTGGTATGTGCATCATGCCATATATGAACTTCTACTTATCTGATGTTTATCTTAGACTTGAATGTATTACTATTGGCTACTAGTTTTACATCTCAGGTTATTTTTCCTTGAATAACAATTTTTGTTTCCTTTAACAACTATTTGTTAACTATTCACTAGTCGCAATAATACAGCCTCTGTTTATATAGTAAACACTTTGGTAGATGTGTATGATACAGAGATCATACATAAATGCTTGTATACAGTTAAAATTTTAGGTCAATAATAATGTTAGTTAATATTGGCTTTTTTCGCATTGTGCACATACACATGATTGGGAATTGTGGTTATGGATCCTCAATGTATCTATACTGTACATGAAAGTTAAAACTAAAGAAGTCATCCAATATTATAACTTTTATACTGTGTTAATGTTTTAGGTAGATTTTTTTCTACAAATTTTGTGAAATGTCTTTCAATAATTTATATCTACTAATAGACATTGGTGTTAAGTTGTTACTGAGTTTGTTTTTAACATCCCAAAACTTCTGTTTAAAATATTGTTCATATTTTCCACTGCTAGCCTAGCACACTACCACTCTGCTGACATGATTGTCTCGAGCTATAAAGAGAGATGTTTGCTTGGGTATCTGATTCTGGTTGTCACAAAACATTGTAAACTATTATTTATTTAATTTATTATTGGTGCCTATTTTTACTGCCAGGGATATTTTCTTCCTCAGGTGTCCAAATCATCTGACTTAGTTATGCAATGCGCTTGATTTTTGAGAGAGGAAGCCGGTCTGCTCTGCAATCATGAACGTTTTTAAAAAATAGTTTGGTGTGTGTGATTTATATAATTTCATCACATTTCATCTTGTATCTTGTTATGTTAACTAGAAATCACTGATGGCATCTTCTGAATGATACTATCTTTTTCTCCAGCTTGGTGAGCAAGAGCACATTTTATTGGTTTTCCTGTTATGAATTTCTTTTCAACTGCAAACTGCCAGTACTGAGAATCATTTAGAACCATTCTAAAATCTACTTGTTTGGCTGGACTTTGGGATCAATTAAGTTGAGAAGCCATAGTGAAAGGTATAACTGTTGCTTAGTTTCTGAGCATTTGTGTGGGTCAAGCAATCTGAATGTTTAGAGTAGGTTATCAATCTAAAGATAATTGTGATCAAATTCTTGCAAGGAAAATATATTTGAAGATAGTTGGATTCAACGTCATCTTGAGATTAGTACTTGGATAAACAGGTTACTGCTGGAGTTAACCTTTTCTCAAAGTGGTACTTACTCTTTAGCTGAACTTTTGCACTCAGTTGGTGATTTGTAGGCAGTAAACTACTAGTTAGATTTTAAATAATGCCAGTCTCAAACACTTATCTTTAGCTTTTTCCATTTAAAAGTTAACCCATCTTTCAGTTTTCTATTCACTCTGATTTTGTTTTTCTTTTCATTTTTCAAATGAATATGTTTTGGTGGATAAAATGTTTTGGTAATCTATTATGTATAGACAATCTATCTGTACATTTGGTAATGTATAGGTAATCTATCCTATAATCACTTGGTATTTTCTAGAATAAGAACCAAGATTGTTTATTCTAGAATAAGAACCAAGATTGATAATTTATGAACAGTGAATTTAGTGAGATTGTATTGCAATCTAATCATGAAGCTGTAGCAAATAATACATTTTCCCCATTTTAGTAATAGTTTAATGTCTAGAATACCATTAAAGCAGTCTTGTTGAATTTATAATTATATCTACAGTTTAATATTTTGGTTTTATTTATTTAGTTGTCAAATTTATATATTCACCCATCTTACAAAACAAGTGCTTTTGGATGGTTTTATTTTATATAAACTAAATAGTGGTATGTATGTATGTATGTATGCATGCATGCATGCATGCATGCATGTATGTATGTATGTATGTAAAACATACACCCCCCCACCCCCACCCCACACACTATAGAAGCTAAAATGAGAGGGCAGGATAGATTTATTAACAAAGTAACAAATACATATAAAATAACACTTCTGTTTTTCGGTCTTTCTACTCAGTCCCTTAAACTGTAATTCATTTGTTAAGGGATAAGATTATTATTAAGAATAGAAGGATTATTTCTCAGTCAATATACCTAGTTTGCTCAGTGGTATTAGTGAAATATATTATGATTAAAATGAAGATACTATGGCTACAAAATTTTCCTTCTGGGCAATAACAAGTTTATCTAAAGATTAATTTATACAATTCTGTTTAGATATGTCAAATTCATTATATTTATAAAAAACATGATACATAATATCTAATATTCTTTTTTCAGAGACTGATATATTCTGAAAAGCTGCTGCTAGAGATGGATTTATTTTCAAAATGAGAGATCCCTAAATTTAGTAAGCTATTGTAATATTGTGTGGGATGGATTAAAATATTATTTTGCTGTCATACTTAAATAGGTTATTTTTCTTAAATGGAAAAATTGCTTCTAAATTAATATTCAAATTGTGTTGTGCATTAACATATCTCATGCTGTCTTTGTTATTTTATAACAATTCTTATGCCTTTTGTTCTAACAAATCTGTGTGTAAAACAGTCTTTGCAAGTTTCCATTTATGTGATTGACTCTGCAAAATACTGTAACATTATGAACACTTGTGGCAAAAACAGGTTGCCCTCTATGTTTTCCTCAACTTGAAATCAGCCCCCCCCAAGAGATAAGCAGAACACCAGAGAAGTCTTACTAATTAATCTTAATATGATTAGTTCAGTGCTTTGACATCTCCTTTCCCCAATATCAGTGGTTTTGAATGTGTGGGCTAAAGTCCTTTTTTGTAAGATGCAAGACGTATCTGAAGGTAAGACACCAGCAGCTTACAAATTAATCAACAGAGTCCTGCATTGCGTATAATGCCAGATACTTTCTTATTATTCCCAATAATAGAAATACACACTGGATTCTCCCATTATGTTGTCACTCTTTAAATATGTTTTATTAAATAAATCACAATAAGTGAATTCACATAATATGCTAAGAAGTAAATTCAGTGGTCTGATATTTGATTTTATGAACAGAATTTGGGTCAGTCCTGTTCTAGTCGTCATCTAATGATAGAGGAGTGGATATGTATTGTTGAGAGACTGGTGATGTAGGTTAAATCTTAAGGAATATCTGATATGAATGTGATTAAAGCTTAATATAAATTAGGATATGAATGTGATACAATCTGATGAAAATTTCAGTAATAAATAATTTCATTACTGGATTCTTTTATGTATATTTATCCTGAGTGATTGGGTGACCATTATTAGTTCCAGTAAGTACTCCTGCATTGATAAAGTGTTTCATTAAGTATCCTATTATGTGAATACATACAAGTAGTTTCTGTTTCTCTCCTCACTCTACATTCTTTATGAAAAATGAAATTATGTAAATGGATTGCTAATATGTTTGCTTCAGTTTGCATCCAAGGCTCTGAAAATTGGGGGATTTTTCTGTGCAAGGTTTAGAATATCAGAAGGTGAAAAGGCTACACATTTCTACTTAGTATTGTAGTAGAGGTGCAAAATAGCCTTTATTCTGACAAAAGTACAACTAAGTCAGTTTTGATTTTTACTTTGTGACTTTTTGCTGAAAGAGCAAGAACTGTTAGTATATTAAAAAGAACTGCCTTCAGATTTTAGACAGTCTTTCTCATTCAAGGAAAATGGGACAGAGAAAATTACCTTTTTAATCCACATTCTTAATGTATATAGGACAGTTCCATTTTGCAAATAACTTATTTATGGATGGGAAAACAGCCCTTTGAAATAAATATGGTACTGTATTGTTCAGTTGTTAGCATCTATACTGGGATTTTCCAATTGTGGAATTTGAAACTTTGATACCCTTTATCAAAATTCAAAGCTCTAAGCAATGCAACATTTGCTGCATTCAAATTAACTTTTTTTTGTCTTTAGTCTTTCACAGAAGCCCATCAGGTCCTCTTGCCACTATAGGGTTCTGTGGACCACAGAGTGGAATCATCCACTCCAATAATAGTGTAAAAATAATCAACCCCCAAATTGTGTGATTTGCCTGGAAAACAGTGGCGTGAAAAATCTGATTTGAAAATAGACTTGTGGGCAATTTTTCACTTGCCTTCCTTCCAGTAGACAAATGATTTTAATGATCCTGTCTTTGCTTGAGCTTTCACTAAAACCATTGGCATTTTTTCTTGTCTTTTTTAAAAAAACTGGCTGTTCTCAGCATGTATAATTCTAAATCCCAAGCCTTCTATTTCTTAGCTTACCACAGAAATTTAGCTTGAAATGCCTTGTATTTAAAACTGTAAAGCTAGTACACATACTGCAGACCACTCTGTATAGAAACTTTCCCAGAGCCTTTTACAACATTGAGTTCTTCCTTATCTGTTATAATTGTAGACCTAGAGACTTTGAGAATTGCTTCTTCTTCTTGTTTTATCTTTTTGTTTGCTACTATATTACACTACAAGTTTGCTGAGTTTGGATTAATAACTTGTTTTGCAAAAAAGTACCTACATTAT